AACGCACGAGAGGCGGAAGGGGCGGCCAAAGCGGATTGGACCCACGTGAGACTAGACAGAGAAGACAGTTGAGTTCAGTAAGTTTGCCTCCAACTAAGGCGTTTTGCTCACTAGGTTACGCTACCTAAATACAGCACAAGTAAGTACAACAATTCTACCAGACCTGGTGACACCATTGCCCCACCCATTACTTTACATAATTGTGCGTGTGTGTTCACTATTATCACAGCGCCGAGGGTTTGCACTTCAGTGCCTTTCATTCTCTGTGTGATGGGATATCTATTCACGCCTCATATTTTTCACTTGTGAGTGTGCCTGCCTGACTTCTGTTCTTGTGCTTCTGTGTGGTACATGTCCAACTCTATCCTGAGAAATATCTCACTGGTATCACACGTTTGCCACATTTTATGCAATAGTGCAGTAGCTACACCCCCTAACAGAGGGAAGCTGCGGTTTCATGCAAAATGCCTCACTTGTAGCCATGTTTACAGGAGTCTTGAAGTAAGAGCTATTTATCTCCCCCACTCCCATAATTAGTGGGAGAAGGCAGCTGCCCTGTCAGATGTGCATATCGGTTACTCAGTTTAGAGCAGAGACCATGTCGCTGTATGAACTGAGCTATTTATTATAGATATACATAAAATAACTGCAGTGGTATATATATACCTATCAGTGTTCTGCTACTTTGGCTTTGCAGTTTGCTTCAGTTTACTGTGGGTCTTGGCAGACCATAGGCAACAGAAACTACTAATGATGTACACAAGCGTATAAGAATGTGGAAGTGGGTAAAAGGGAAGCATAGAGAAAGAACACTTATAATTATACACTCACATCTACAATGAAAAGCACTGAAGTTCAAACCCTCGGCGCACTATAACGCGCAAGCATAAGTAAACGCATGCGCAGTACCACTAATTGATGGGCTGGGTTTAGTTTTAGCTGTTACTCGTGGTCTCTTGCCAGCTCGCGCAGAGTCTGACGAGGGCTAACTACACTACTAGATAGCATGCGAGAGGCGATACACGCCCTGCGTTGCATCTTCTGGTGCCTCCGAGGTAAGGTAAATAGGGGGTAACTCCGGACGCGGAGGTAACTCCGGACATTGGGCGTTGCACCAGTCTCGAAATTATGCTCTGCGAAAAAAACGCGAGGAAGATTTGTTAGCGCTTTGGCAGGGAGTAATCAAGTGAAACGAATCTTTCTCTTGTTTCTGAATAGCGAGTTATGTCCGGGTGTTACCCCGTGTCCGAAGTTACCTCCATTTACCTTACGCAGAGCACGCGGATCGATCATGCCGTAGTAAGCGGTCCCGTCTGTTGTGTATTTGCATATTGGCTTTTTCGCGCTCTATAGCTTTGCACGGAGCGTTTTCAGAGAAAACCGTTCGAAATTTCTGACCTTCATTGCCCGTTAGCTAAGTAGGTGGTATCCTTTGTGAGACGAACGAACACTCGAGAAGTGAGATGACGAGTAACAGACAGCTATAGACACACAGACAGACCCAACTACAGCAACCCTCGCTGCGCATGCGCGCCGAGGGTTAATAACTTCATTGATTAGCATGTATACATAGAACTAGCATGTATACATAGAACTACATTGTGTTCAATCACAGATAGTCTAAAACTATGGTAATGATCAAGTCCCAGTTGATTTCACTGTACGTATATCTCAGCAAACTCAATGTACACGTCTTCGTCTCTCCTGACCTGGTCTGCGCAGAGTCTAAACTCTATATCTTCATTGGTGGGCTGGGGCAAGTCCTTACAGAACCAGTTGGCCCTCTTACAGCATGCCTCTCCACCTACTGAACAACTTTTCCCGTCCCACAGCCGATCTTCATCGAGAAACGTGCCGCTCTTTTCAATGTCGCAGTAGTAATCACCTCCGACGTACGGGCGGGGGGCGGTCAGCTTTGGATTGTCACTGCACGGACACTGACCGAGTGATGAGAAGGTCGAGGCTGCCAGAGTCCAAACGTGCTGTCGAGGTCTGCCGTGGGTGATGCTCACACCGTCCATGTATGGCTGATCTATGGTACACTTCTTCAAACCCCGGCAAACCCCGTGTATCTTAAACCCATCCACAGTGCGGTCTGCGTACCCGTAGACTCGTCCGCACACTTTTGAGTAGCTTATTCCGTTACTTTTGAAAGTAACAGAGCTGCAACCAGCATTGACTGTCTTCCTACAAACTTTCCGATTGCCAGCAACAAAGTATGCCAGGTCTGACGGACAGCTGGTTTTAGCATCGATGAGTCCAACTCGCATCCAACCTCGCGGCTCCCTCGGGGTGATACTGTGTGCACAGTAAACCTGAGACACATCGTTGTCGGTAGTGAGCCAATAGTAGCCGTCTTTAGCGTCCCACACCCTGGTTTGGGCGATCTGTGCACACGAAGTGGCGGGGCAGAAGTGGGTGCCTCCCAGAAACACCTGGCAGAGTAATTGTGATGGGCCTAGGTTGGTGCAGGAAGGAAACCCTGACACTGCCACCACAACTGCAACTGCTAGAACCAGAAGTATCTTCATTTTCCCAGTCTCTCTCCTTTTGCTTTAGCTAGTCACGAGGCTGTCAGACTGAACTGAGGTTTGATGCTGCCCAGTCAAAACGGTCCTTTTATACCATCCTCACTTGTCCTTGGTATGATAATCATTGTGAAGAGGAAAATGGATGACCCTCCCACAACTTGTAGGAATTTTCTAACAGCTGGGGAAGTGTGGGGGAAGGAATCCCAGTCATTGAACAAGTACACACTGACTGGGAGATAGAATAGTGTAGGCTGTGAGGTGCACAATTTCCTCGATCTCACCGTGGGTGTCATGGAAAGAAGAGCAATCATGAAAAGAGTTACAAGGAAAGTGCCTCACGGAGGGGGAAAACTGTCTGACTGGCTCCGAGCAATGGTGCGAGAGGGCGAACTGGTTCTGCAAGGACCTTCCCCAAGCCACGACCGACGATATTGAACTTAGAGTCTGCGTGGATCAGAGCAGGGGTGACGAGGACATGAACATTGAGGAGGTCCAGATACATACGTTCATTGAATACCGACTCACAACCTGTGTTAACATTATCGCAAAGATGCCGAGCTATTTGCTTTAATAATAGTGTCGATTTTAATGTTATCTTATATCTGTAAGTGTAAGGGAGTTTTATTACTGCCACTACAGCTTAGGGTGTACTACAACTGTTAGTGCAGGGGGCAATTCTTGGAAAAGTATAGATAAAATGAAAACCCAAGGGTAGCCCTAACCCCTGTGAAGGGTTCTCCCAGTTTCCAATGATGTGGCATTTACACCTCCCATGCAAGTATTATACTTTTTGACCTTGTTAAAGGTTTTATTTCGGATGTTTGGGAGCTAAGAAAGGTTTGGTTATACGGCGATAATCCCAGTGTACAACAGACCCAGTCTCAGATTGCGTCTGGGGAGCTGCAGGGTGTCGCTGGTGGAAGGGGTGAGTTGAGGTGTCCGGGAGGTGAGAGAGACACCTCATGTTCATTGGTGTATGTCCGTTTGTTAACGGTTCCGCCCATTGCTCTGGGTGTGTGGTCTATGGCCCTAGTCCTATGGCAGCCACCTGATAGCAACAACAGATATATAGAAAGTAAAAGTATCTGGAGCTTGTTTGTCCAGAGCTCCCCGGTTAACATGAATTTGGGTGAGACATTTTTCAAAATTGTTGTAAATTCACAGCTGGGGCACTCATATAGACACGAAATGTGGTAGCTACGCATGACTAGAAGTGAGGAATTTTTCGTTCCCCCCCCCCTGATATTTGAGTTATAGGCATGGGCATGCATGAACTACACACATGCAGTAGTAAACACTACTGCATGTACATAGGCAGTAAAATCCCACTTTAATATACATTGTTTGTGCAGACAACAAATTATTATGTTGAGGATGCAAAAGATGTTTATGATTAGCTATCACAGAGGTGGTCGACCTGTATGCACTACGAGGCGCAGAATCACCCTTGAACCTCAGCCTACCGGAGCTGATCCATCGGCCCTCACGGATGATCCTGACCATGATACATTGCTTTTCGGAGAAGACCTATTTGATGGGAAGGAGAATAGCTTGCATGCCCTTAAGCAGGCTGCAAATGCAGAAGCTTGGGGCAGTATTCTCTCTGATATGCTCAAAGCAGTGCCAGAATCTCAAGCAATGCAATGTGGCCAGTTGTGTTTCAGTTGTTCTCAAACTGCAGAATACAGATTGTTCTAAACATCTTGGTAGCCAAAACAAACATGTTTCGTGTTCCTGAAATCTGGGAGGTTGGTAGCTAGAGCTTAACTCATTATAAAAATTAATACTTCTTGTATAGGACGGGACCTATAGGTCCACTGTGTTCGACGAAAGATGTATTGATGTTCGCCTCATGCACGAATGTTAAACTGTGAAAGGAAAGTCACCAATACACTTCAGAATTAGAATCAGAATCACCAGAAGACGATGACACTATTGAAAAATGATTCTGTTTAATGTGTATGTATGAATTTTTATTGACACTATTGTTTACAAGTGGAAAAATCATTTCTTCAAAATGAAGGGGGATATAGGGATGGCTTGAAGCACCAAAAACGAAGAAACATGGGGTCATACACAGCAAAGATGCACAAAGCCACATGACACCATCCCTATATCTATGTTCGATATTAAACTTTGCTTATAAACGATAAAACAAAGATAATGTATATATGGATGGTGTCATGTAGCTTTGTGCATCCTAGCTGTGTAATGACCCTTTGTTTCTTCGTTTCTGCCAAGTTGCTCCTCATGCAAATCAACAGCAAGCTAGCCAGTTGGAAATGTCTACACTTACGTACAGAAGGCACTGGAGGCTGAGAGTTCCTTTGCAGGTCACCTGGTAATACGCGCGCACAGCGGATTGGACAACGCCGCCCTTGCCTTGCGCATGCGCGCGGCTCACAGATGCTGATGTTCAATGTAGACCATGGAAGAGCTCCATGATCTACCGTAGTGACTTACGGCAAGAAAGAAACGATCGCTTGATGTCCGTGCACACCTCCGACGAAATTGGAGACGTTCAGTGACAAAATCAGCGCTTCAGCTGGTACTGGTAAGGAGATAGGGGGTAAGAAGAAGAAGAATATTTGAATCGCGTATGAGCGAATTCTCGAGTGGACGACTGTATGAGGTCTTTGGGAATATGTGTAGGTAGATATGGGCCCGTAGACTATTGGGATGGTGGGTTTTCAGCTACTGGAGTAAGGGGTTGTAAGTTAGGATCTTCAGGTGAACAAGAATGAAGGGATGGTGATGCAGAAGGGGGATACTTGGAAGCAGAAGATGGAGGACACAATTGGGCTGATGATGAGACAGTGGCCTTGTCTTGAAAGGCAGATTGAATAGGTGCAGAAGGGGTTCTTACTTCTTAGCGCATGCGATAAATTTTGACCGTTTCTCGCGTCCATTGAGGGTTAAACTAAAAAACCTAGCTGTTCGTTAGGTATATACCCTAGTACACGATCAACGAAAGGTTTCCGATCGGGTGCACCTGCAGTAATCATACATAAGAACTCATTCAGCTGAGCCCTCCACATACGGTTCACTCGCAATATTCCCGTGGAGTATATAAAAAAATCCGGTTTCGCTGAGCCTATACAAGCACAGTTTCACCTCACTAGCTAGCTCTATAGCTGGCTGTCTACCACTGACACGGCATGCGCATGCGCATCAAGGAAAATATCGGACGCGAGAACGTACCCATTCACGCCGTGTATAGTAGTACACGTGAACATTGCGACGGTGTAGTGTGTTTTATCAATTTTTCTAGTACCTATGTCGATTGTCCTAAAGTCAGTATTTTAGGCTCCAACCACAAGGGTCAATAGTTCTAGCACCAAAATATCTTTTTACTAGCATAGAACGGATTGCTGTAGCGACGCAAGTTTATGACCTGAGATAGGCAAGCATACTGTCCAAAATTTTGCTGTGAGCGTTGAAAGATATCACCACCCATAGCTGGCATGCATGATTGGGAGAGTGAAGAGGGTTAATAATTCTATGGCAAAGCATTCAAATTTGTGTCAGTGAGTAGCTACACCTGGAGCTCATTATCTGCCAAGGAGATGCGCCTGGTGCATATACTCAAGTAATCAAGTGATACTACACAACTCTATGATCCTGTGTTCTTTACTGTTTAGTTGTTGCGTGAAAAATATCTAATCAGGTCTGAGTTACTCACAAGTTGACCGTCGTAAAAAAAGTGCTTAATATCACAACTACTATAATGATTCTAATGACACTAGATTACTAGCTACATCTTATATCTACTAAGTCATGTTCAGTTCATCCAACAGTTTGTTCCTTTCACACTTTGGTGCTCAGCGAGTGCAAACTGCACACGTCATTTCCTTCTGCTGATCATAAGGTGGACATGGCAGACTTCCACGGCGAGGCTCGACGTGGTAGAAAAGAGCTCCATTGCGGTTAAGATGGCCACCTAAGGCCTTCTCCGGTGCATGGTCCACACATTCGAAAGTAGAGCGATGATGGTTGTATCGCTCGGCCATTAGATACCCATAGTACTCCCTGGTCCACCGAGACGGGCATATGTATGTTCCGGGAATCATGATTTTGGCTGTGCGTGTAGGAACGTAGCACACCACACAGGGAACGTCGTGCTCATGGAGATGAAGGTTAGCCTTGGGAATATTTCCCCACATTTCATATTCGGAACCGTACATAAACGAGGCAGCCACAGTGCCTGGACCGTAGGCAAAATTCTTTGGTTGGAGTGTGACACACTGGTAGTTGCTGCCACCACCAGAGTGTTTATAGTGGCTTCCGGCTGCTCTTCCCTTGTAGACTACTTCAGCCCCGAATGGACAGACAGTACGACCCCACCTCACATAGGCAACACCCTTATGATATCCCTCTGTGCTTGCACCCTGTTCCTCCATTGCGGAATTATCATACTCAGGAAAACTTTGCATGGAGGTGTCATCAAACTCTCTCTTTGTGACAATCTTTTCATCTGTATACAAGGTGTATAATGCACACTTCAATGTGTTAACAGATGGAGCTTACCACTCAGTGGTGTGGCTGTACATACCACAGTTGCCAAAACTGCACAAAATATAGTAGAAAACAGCAGTGGTTTGCCCATCTTTTCAGAGTATTCGTTTTTGAAGATTTCTGGCTGTCTTTGCTTCTTTGTTGAGAGGGAAACACAATTTGCTGGATGCAGTAGTTGGTACTGGGTCAGAAGATATCCTGCTTTTATACAAGTCAGTCAGACATGAAATTATAGCTCATAGCATACCAGCCATAGGTATATACATACATGGGAGACTGGTGATTGACACATTAGGCTTTGATACAATAAAGAAAACATCGCAAAACCTTCATAGAATTTCCTCCTGTATTAAAATCATCTAGTTTATGTTTATTTTCATTTTCCTGCCACACTTTAAGTAAGTTGGTTTTAAAGTTCCTGCTGTTGTGCAGCTGGCTTTCATTGAAAGCTATCGTGACAGTGTGTATATATTTTGATCAGGGAAGTTTGTTTATAGGCTATGTGTGAGAATTATGTCAGATCTCAGGCATTGTACATTTAGACTTACCAGTTGTCAACCCCAGAGCTCTGTATATAGTAAGACATACTTAGGATTCTGCCTGTTGGATACAATGAGAAAGATAGTTGAACAGAGTAATAGGTAAGGGTGAAGGTACAGTTACAGTATTGAAAAGGCTGTTGACTCTTAATTAACTTACCACCTCAACTAACTTTGCTGGATCTGGTATAGTGGTTTCTAAGGTCTTTAGTTGCTCTGATGATTGCAACCATACCATAGTAAAAGGTTAAAATGTTCTATTGCACGATGGAGCACACACAACCAAGTTGTTGACTTGATACACTGTGTGTCATTACATGCACCTCACACTGTGTGGTTAAAACTGCTTTCTACTGCAATGTGCATCACCATAAGTTTTAACATTTATGGTTAACTGATGTAATTAGTAGCTAGCTATATTATACAAAATCATAATGTGACCTAAATGTTCAGCCTCCATGGCTGATGTCACTGGTGTTGTGTGCACTGCTACAATTATACAGTGGAACCTCTGATAAGGGACCCTCCGAGATAGGGAAGGCCTCTCTACAAAGGACACTTATTTCAACTCCATGCTAATATTTTGGTGTATTTGACCTCCGAAATAGGGACGACCTCTCTACAAGAGACAAAATCGTTGGCCGCATAGTGTCCCTTGTTCGGAGGTTCCACTGTATTACTGTGCCCCCGTCTGCCTGCAAAAGGTGCCTTTATTTGCTGGATGCAGTAGTTGGTACTCGGTCAGAAGATTTCATGCTTTTATACAAGTCAATCAGACATGGGAGACTGGTGATTGACATTAAATAGACATTAAGTTACCTTGGCTTTGATAATAATAATAATAGTACTCAGGCGGCTGCCATAGCACTAGAGCCATAGACCACGCACCCAGAGCAATGGGCGGAACCGTTAACAAACGAACATACACCATATGAACATGAGGTGTCTGTCTCACCTCCCAGACACCTCAACTCACCCCTTCCGCCAGCGACACCCTGCAGCTCCCCAGACGCAATCTGAGACTGGGTTTGTTGTACGCGGGGACTATCGCCGTATAACCTAACCTTTCTTAGCTCCCAAACATCCAAAATAAAATCTTTAACAAGGCCAAGCAAAGAACCAAATTTTTCCTCCCACAGTTCACTACCCAATATAAAGGATGCTTTCCTGAAACTATCAAGCGACTGGAAATGCTCAAACCCATCATCCCCAAGCTTCCCCTGCAGGGCAACTAAGAAATTGCTCCTAAGACTACTATATGCTGGACACTCCCACAACACATTACTCACACTTTCACACTCATCATCACACAACAGGCACTCCTTCACCCCCTCCCTCCCCCTATGCCTACCCAGTTCCTCATTTAGCCCATGCGTGCCTGAGGAGGGGCAATCCCCATTTTAAATATCATGCAACCACTCTGCCTTGTCAAGACCTAATGACAAAAAGAGATCATCAATGACCTTACTCCAACCCTTCCTCTGCCTGCCTCTCCGTGGCTTAAAATTCCATTCCTGATTAAAAAGCTTCTTCGGATACCTATTGCCTGGCAATGCCGCTAACTTATACCACCACTTCAACTTATTCTTATCCCTACGCCCTTGTAACGTATCAAGCCCCATATCCCCCCTAACGGCTTCATTACATGTCTTAGACGAACACCCAAGAATGCGCTTAGCTCCTCCCAGCATAACGGACTCTAACACAGTTGCCTGAGTCTTATTGGCTTCCCACACCTCACCCCCATACTCTAAAGTTGGCCTAACCACCGCCAGCAACAACAACCTGCGAGCACTCAAATTAATATCCCTATTACTAATTACACTATGCAACTGATTAACCTTCCTTCTACCATTGTCTAACACATTCTTGATATGCACATCCCATGCACCAGTACTAGTAAAATGAAAAGCACTAAAGTGCAAACCCTCGGCGAACTGCGCATGTGCGGTACCACTAATTGATGGGCTGGGTTATTTATGCCTTTACTCGTGGTATCCCGCTAGTAGCTCGCGGAGAGTCTGGCACGGGCTAGCTACAGTAGTAAATAGCATGCGTGAGTCGATACATGCCCTTCGTTGTGACTTGTTGTGCCTTCAAGACACACAGAGCGAACAGACGCGGTCGAGGTAAGCCTGTGCTAATTTACATATTGGCTTGTTCACTTGGTTTTCACGCCATAACTTTAAAACACAGTAGTTTTACGAAAATCGCCTTTTTTAAAATCAACCCAGTGTAGCACTGAACCCGATTATATCGTTATTTACCAGATTTCGTGCGCGCGGTGGCAGAAAACGTGGTAACAGACAGACAGACTGACAGACTGACAGACAGACTGACACACTTACGGGACAACTACCGTAACCCTCGCTGCGCATGCGCGCCGAGGGTTAATGAAAAGCACTGAAGTGCAAACCCTCGGCGCATTGTGACGCGCACGCGTGAGTAAACGCATGCGCTGTATCACTAATTGATGGGCTGGGTTTAGTTCTGGCTGTTACTCCTGACGTCTCTAGCCATCTCGCGCAGAGTCTGACGCGGGCTAACTACATTATTAGACAGCATGCGACAGGCGATACACGCCCTGCGTTGCATCTTCTGGTGCCTCAGAGGTCGCAGAGCACGCGGATCGATCAGATCGCGGTAAGCCGTTGCGTATTTGCATATTGGCTTTTTCGTGCTCTAGCTTTGCAACGGAGCATTTTCAGAGAAAACCGCCTTTATTTTCTGACCTTCGTCGCCCGTTGGGTAGATGGTATCGTTTCTGGGACGAACAGACGTTCGAGAAGTGAGATGTAGAGTAACAGACAGACACACACACACACACACACACACACACACACACAAACCCAATGAAAAGCACTGAAGTGCAAACCCTCGGCGTACTCATGACGCGTACGCGTAAGTAAACGCATGCGCCGTACCACTAATTGATGGGCTGGGTTTAGTTCTAGCTGTTACTCGTGGTCTCTTGCCAGCTCGCACAGAGTCTGACGCGGGCTAACTACACTACTAGATAGCATGCGAGAGGCCCTGCGTTGCATCTTCTGGTGCCTCCGAAGTACGCAGATCACGCGGATCGATCCGACTGTGGTAAGCCGTCATATTGGCTTTTCCGCGCTCTAGCTTTGCAACGGAGCATTTTCAGAGAAAACCGCCTTTATTTTCTGACCTTCGTCGCCCGTTGGGTAGATTGTATCGTTTCTGGGACGAACAGACATTCGAGAAGTGAGATTGAGAGTAACAGACAGACAGACAGACAGACGGACAGACAAACCCAACTACAGTACCCTCGCTGCGCATGCGCGCCGAGGGTAACTACTGTAACCCTCGCTGCGCATGCGTCTGTAACTGATCCTTAGACTCACTTACACCAACAAAGTCATCTGCAAACAAAAGTCCTCCAAGTCTCCCACCACTACTTCCCAATCTCAGCTTCCTCCACCTCCCTCAACAACCCATTGATAAATACGGAAAACAAATTGGAGATAAGCTACATCCCTGAGCTACCCCCTGTTCCACATCAAATGCCTCTGACCGTTCCCCATCCAACAATACAGCACTCTTTGAATACTCGTACATCTTCTTTATGACCCTCCACATCTTCCCTCTTACCCCAAATTCCCACAACTTAAACCACAGGCCGTTACGCCACACACTATCGTATGCCTTCTGCACATCTAGAAAGAATGCATATGTCTCCTTCCCCTCCTTTAGTCTACCCTGCACGAGTTCATTCAGCGTATAAATATTATCAACACAACCCCTTCCAACCCTAAAACCAGCCTGGCCCTCATGCAATGCTTTGCCCTCGTCCAGATGCTTCACCAACCTATTGTTCAATACCTTACAAAAGACCTTCCCAACCACACTCAGCAGAGTGATGCCCCTATAATTCCCAGGATCCTCCTTATCTCCCTTCTTAAACAAGTTAACTATGAGGCCCTCCCTCCACTGTGGTGGCACAAACTCCTCACGCCAAATTACTGTAAACAACTGTTTAAAGGGGGGGTCCCAGGCAAATAATTCGAAAAAGTTATGAATTTTTTTATTTTTTATTTTTAGTGTCTATAGGTATTATGCATCATAGATCCTAGGTAACAGAGCCATATCTTGCATGGGCACGGCAGGGTTGCAATGTTGCGTAGACAACCGAGCTTCCGCGTCTAACCGGTTTAGACCGGAGTATCTGATTGGTGTTTGCGCGTTAAAATGGGTAGCAACAAGCTAGCAACGCTGCGCTCATTCCTCATTCCTTACCTTCGGATGGAACAAGACGCTTTTTTTACGTGTGAGACTTCGAGGAGACAGCCCCCGCCCCCCGTCAAAAATCGTTTACGTCATCATATAACGCCCTCATTGGTGGTGCGCGTTTGAAAGGGTTAGCAACGCAGGGCAACGGCCCAATGTGTTTGTGTATCGCCAGAGCTAAAGAAGCCGACGCTTTTTTCGTGGAATATTGACGTGATTTCTGACTTTCGCGAGCTCCGGAGACTGTCCACAGACTTCTTGCAGGTGCACTACGCATTTTAAAAGAGCTACTTTGCCAGTCGCGCCTTCTACGCTTACATATACCGAACGCGGAATCGGCCGGTTTGCGCAGATAACGACTTTTGAGAATAGCCATTTTGTACAGGGAGTTTGCTGTAGACCACCTGCAAACGCCATTAGACACCTGAAACGAGGTGTCTATGAAAAATAAACCCCCCGCAATTCTGTAATCTGATTGGTCA